AATGCTAAATCAGCAACATGGCTTTCACAAACCACATTCAGAAAAGGGAACTTCAAGAAGGAAGTGGTTTTATATACTAAATCATTTTTCCCCCTTAAAAATGAAAAGGCTGGGCTGACTAAAGGACTTCTGACTTAAATGCACCTCCAAATTCATGCACCTCCAAATTCATGCACCTCCCACGCAGAAACCACCCTCCCTAGCAATCTCTAGCCAACCCTCTGAGCCAAAACAGCCACATCCAAACGTCAGGATTGCCCACTCTAACTTCAAAAGCACCAGCGCGGCACAGGAGGGAGTTAATGTCAAGAACTGACTCAAGAAGATGACCCTTAGAAGTTCTGTTGGTTTGAGTTTTTCCCCCACAACGTAAGCAAAGAAATATTCTTTAAGTCAGAAAGAATGATGCCAGCAGGTGACTGTTGCCACCGTTTGATGATTTTAAGACACGGTTTAGTGGTGGACCTGGCAGTGCTGGGTTAACGGTTGGACTCGATGATCTTAAAGGTCTTTTCTAACCTAAATGGTTCTACGATTCTGTGATTCTATTCAGCACTGATGAAACCACACCTGGAGTGCCACGACAGACAGGGACCTACTGGAACAAGTCCAGAGAAGCACAGTCAAAATTAACGGATGATTCTTGTATAAAGTGCGAGGCTGAGGGTGCTGGAATTTTTTAGCCTGGAGAAGAGAGGCTCAGAACGATCTTACCAACGTGTACAAAAACAAGATGGGAGAGACTAAAGAAGACTGAGCCAAACTCCTCTCAGCGGTGCTCAGCAAAAGGACAAGAGGAGCCAAAAGGAACAAAATGAAATACAGGAAATTCAGTTTATAGACAAAACAAAACACCCTTTTTTATTTTAAATGTGATTAAACTCTGCAACAGCCTGCCTGGACAGGCTGTGGAGCCTCCATCCTTGGATGTATTAAAAACCTAAGTGACATTGTGATCAGCCTGCTCCAGTTGCCTCTGCTCTGGCCAGGTGAGATGATTTCCAGAGGTCTCTCCCAAACTCAACTATTCTGTGATTCTGTGAAAATCATCATGTTACCCTGTCTCAAAGACCCTGCAATCCAGTCCATGAAGTTAGCACTGACAGATGAGTCCAACAGAGAATATTAAGACTTAATTATTGATGTCAGAAATGACCAATTTTAAAATTATGCCAGTGTGAAGGAATAACTCAGGGAAGCTTCCACTGACAAGCTATGAACTGAGATAAGGAAATTCTTACATGAAGAAAGAAGCAAAATGAAAACTCACGCACTTAAACTTCACAAACAAGGCTTCATCTCAGAGAGGAAAAAGCCAAACAAGTGTTATCTTGATCTCCAAAGTTAATAGGAGTAATGCAATAGGAAACCTGACACCGAGTCTAAAGCTACAACGTGACTAAAGCCTCATGAGAACTTAAGTCTCAAAAGAATTTAAGTTACAAGGTAAACACTGCAGAAAGTAAAGAGTAAGTCATCATCTGTCTCTTAGTAAGTGCTGAGACGTTGTTTAAGCATTGTACTTCTACCCTGGGCATGTTTCACAGCATACATGTGGACATGAAAAACCCCAAAGACTGTGGACTTTCTCTCTGAACACCTAATGAATAATCCTTCCATTGAGTAAGGCTTTCCTGTTGTCCTAATGCTAGGCTTAAGGCTCTGTATCTTAACTAAGGTCACTGCAAAGAAGTGAGAACAAAAGAAGATTAAGGAGATCATACCAAGTTCCACAAAGCCATCCGCAAGTTTTTAATAGCTTGCAAATTAACTAACGCATAGGTAACGGCCAAAACTGAGAACCTCTGTTGAATGAAAACAGATACCCACCAGGAAACAGCTAATATATGCCCTCCAAAACAAAAGATGCACTGTATGCCACGCTTACAACTATACTTATAAAAGAAACTTAATCTGCTGTACAATCTAACTGAAAAAAGAAATGCAAGTAAAATCTACAGGAGATCAGCTCTAGCTTTTGTATTTTAATAATTCAAGGCAGTAGCAGCTAAAGATCGTCCGTTAGAACCGGCACCAAACGTGGCACTAACTGGCACTAGATACAACACCGAAAACTGCTTAAACTCAACATCTGGTGTATCTCCCATAGAACTGAGTGAGAAACGTTTTCTGGAAAACTGTTTCTATTAACCGAATGAGGCAGGAGAGAAAAGCACAGAACTGATCTCCACAGACCAGGAAAGTACAGTTTGCTACATCTTTTTTTTTTTTTTTTTCCCCTCCCGGTGCTTTGGGAAAATGTAAAGGAGACTTTAAAAACATCTTTTCTAGCTAGAAGCAACCAGCCTGCCCACAAGGCCTCGGCACAAGGCGTACGGAGGGAAGCAGGCTCTCAAGGTGGGGTCGGTTTTACCGGGCACCGACCCGCTCCCTGTGG